CCATACCATACCATACCATACCATACCATACCATACCATACCATACCATACCATACCATACCATACCATACCTTGGTACCTTATACTCGAAGTATGTAACTCTCTCTCTCTCGTTTGATTTCTCGACGTCGGAATGCATGTTCTTGTAGTTGAAAATGAGCGTATCTTATATTCACCACCACGTTCTTCGTCGTAACCGGAATGAAGTTACTTGAGCAGCTTCATTTCGTGGATTCAGTCTAAGTTTTAACTCTACAGCGAACATGCGCACAGCAACATCGGCGATGTAGATGATATTACCAAAAGGTAGTGTATATAATAAAACATGTAATAACAGACAACGAGGATGCATCTATACATAGATACTAAAAAAATGGATTTGATCTAGACTCTGGAGTTAAAATCAGAAAATGTTAGAAACAAGTACGATGTAGGTCATGCTCTTCCAGCAAAAGGAAATCTATATTTTTTTCTTAGAAGTAACTGATACCTTAAATCACTCGAGACCACTTCGTACTGTGAAAAGGTTTGCTTCCGCAACACCGTGCACCACTGGGGCATTAAGCCGCTGACGGATGACGACTATTCCAAAAGGTTCTGTACGGAAGTGTAAGGGGGTTGTTGGGGCATCTTTTAGACAACACATTCGGATGTATTCCTTTGCGTTCAGTCAGCTTAAACACTTGTAACGCCACGAAATTCACCATGCCCTTCTTCTGGCTCGCATTTTGGCACTCAAATGATTCAGAGCCACCCCTGCACTCCCCCCAATGTTTGAGACTGGAAGAGCTCGTTCTTCATCTTCGGCTTTGATACCGTCCGTGGAGGCGGTGGCGTCATCTCCTCGCAAGCTCCGTTTGATATTATGCGCATTAGAGAGCCAACGTCTTCTCCGTGTTGTCAGCGATATGGCCATTGGTGGAGGCTGCTTCAGAGGTTGCGAGTATCACGACCAGGATTGAAAATAGAGCCCACAGAAGCGCAAGCATTGATGGATTTTGTCGGAGATTGTGTTCAGCAGAGGTAAATTCAGAAGTGATGTACTAATGATCAATATGGACGTCTGCCTTGGTCGTACACTATCTTTATATTTGAGACGGCGTCAAACGAAAAGATGCTAAAAAAAAAAAACCTAAGTACGAATCGCGATTTGGGCAAAGAGGATGATCTCTTCTTTCGATTGGTGCATTCAGATCTACAAAAAGTGAAAAACTCACTGAGCGACGAGTCTAAAAAAACATGCCTCATTAAAAAATATGTTTTGGAAAAAAAATGTTTTTAGACTACTGGAAACCATATTTCTTACTGAATCGATTGCACCTGCTCCCAGTATCTAGTTCCTCTCAAAAAATGTGTTTGAATTTCGGAGATCTCAATTTCTTGGGGTATATTTTGAACTTTTGGGTACTAAATTTTTATTTTTTGGGTTTTTGGGTATAGGATGGAAGGATCATTCTGATGTACTGCTAACATTCCGCTCACGGATTGACCTAATTGTCCTTCTTCGCTCGCTTGCGGCTTCGGGTCCCAGTCTTGGGCTGCGCTGATGTAGCTTTCGATACGTTTGTACGGTCTTCATTCTCTTCTTCACAATCGACAGGGGCGACCTTCGCTTCATCACAAACTACAGCGTCTATTTTTTTCTTGTTGGCACTTGCGCTGTGACGTGCCTGCTTAGCTTCCTTCGCGTGGCGCTCTTCCCCGTCTATAGGGACTGCATACAGGGGGTCCGGCGCAAACTCGGAAGGGACGTACGGTCTTACCTTGTTGTACATTTGCTGCTTTTTCTCTAAATTTGGAGGCGGTGGTTGTAGAGGCTCTAAGTACGCAGCTAGTAGACTCCGCACTTTTGCAGCGTTCGTCTGTATGCCGTCAAAAGACCGTCGAAGGTCTTGGTGCAGTATCTTAACAACGAAGTTATTCTTGTTTTGGTCACCGCAATTGTCAGCGTAGATAGGGAGTTTTCGATGGCCGTTCGCCAGCATGATCCGCTGGATAAAGTGATACAGCATGCTGTTGACCTCGTCCGTTTCTTTACCAGCAACCGATTCATCGTACATATAGTTGTACTGTATCCCCTTGTTAGCGTAGTAGATTCCAAGACGTGAACGTTCACAAGAGACAAGAAGTACCACTGAGACGGCGTACTGGCGACGCGGGGAAGGGTCAGGTTTTGACTGAAATCCATGACGATCACTGCGTGATCCTCCAACACGGATGCCAGGTCCTTCTTGTACTCCAGCCTAAACAAAAAGTTCACAGTTAAACAAAATGATCTTTGCATCCCATCTCAAAAAAAAATGATTCTTGCATCCTTACCTCATTTCCTTCGCGGCTTCAGTGTGGACGCCTAGCTCATCAGTAAGCTCCGCCGTGATACACGACTGCATGCGTGTGTGCAGGATGGCACACAAGTCACAAACGTTGCTACGAGGAGACCTGATCCGACTAGTCGGACAATACTGCATCAGGAGTTTTCGAAACGTCGAAAGGCGGGTTCGCGTACGTCCAGGTCGTTCTCAAGCACGTAGGCGTTCATCTCAGTGTAGAGCTGATCCCAGGTAAAGTATGCAGGCAACAGGGTGTAGTTTTCGTCCATGTACTGCTTGCGAACGTTTCCATCGATCGTTTTCTGTGTGCGAACTCTCACAGCAACAACATCGCCTAGGGTCGAGGCAAACGACCGAAACCAGCTCACCAACCAGCGAATTTCGATCTTTGTTGCGTTCATGTTCAGTAAACCCTTGTGTACCTTGACGGAAAAGGTGGGCTTCAGGTGGTGTTCCGTCACTCATGATGCTGAAGGGAAGGTGCGGGTCGGTCAAGGAAGACGTACGAAGTTTTGGCTTGCACAAGAATTGGTAGGAGGGCGCAAATTGCGAAGTGGTTCTAAATACGGCTAGGCTAATCTAACAATTGATCAGTCCCGAACAAGATCGCAAATTTGTACAATCGATGGAAAGCTATATCTTTGAAGATGCGTACAAAATTAATCACACTCCTCATCTTCGCGCGATATTAATGAATCTCGATGCGTAACACCCGCCCACGTACTCGTTGGTTTCATGATACTATGATCTTATAGTTCAATCTTTATAAATATCTCAACTTTGAACTCGCCACAGTTGTAGTTATCCTCCGTGAACCAAGGCGGGTAATGTTTAGTTATCAAAGCAAGCATAGCTTACAGACAACTACTACAGATAGCCAGCGTTATATCGCACAGAGCCGAAGCTTCACGAATCACTCGCACTGCAATGGAATATGTCTACAAGACACAAATGACGACACGTGTGGTATGAGGTTCACAGTTCTTCGATTCCCTCAATCACCAATCCAAAGCAAATACAAACTTCTGCCATGCTATTTAGGTCGTAACAACTATTTACAACATTGAAGTGATTCTAGAACGTGATCCGATGCGACTCGAACGATACAACTTCGAAGGACGTACACGATTCCTCCATAAATCGCTTTTGAATCAAACGCACAAAAGGTTTTTATTGAATGATATCATGTATGGAGGATTTTGTTGGACAAACTTAAGTTTTTTTTTTTTTGCTTTTAGGCATATTGCCAATATTTGAGCTCGTCCTGTCTCAAAAAAAAGGACCAAATTCAACAGGACCCAAAGCGGACCATGCCCACCGGTGACCCGAAAAAAAGTCTACCTCTACTTCACATTCATCTTGTAATATGAAAAGGGGTACGCACCGGCCAGCATGAGTGCCAGATATATGGGGACAAAAGCCTCGTGCGTACAAAACTTGGTTGACAAGATCCACGAATTAGGACAAGTGGCCTATTAAATTTGCCGTGAGGCTCCAAATTAGAGGGGACGTGCTTTAGCATGTCTGCGGTGAGCAGTAGCTTTTTCGTTCAAAATGAGGTGTCATGTTTATAGAAATGCAGATTTTGCCGGGTATTGTGTTCGTTTATTAGATTAAGTAGTGCTACTTGGGCAAAGCTTGGAGTTGTTAATTGATCAGCAGCCCTCTACGTGAGGGTCTAGATAGCCCGCCCCGACGTGCGAACCAGGACCTAAGGAGCACCTGAAATTAGAATATTCCTACCAACCGAAGCAATTAAGACAAGTAAGATGTAGCAAACCAAGGGTCCGTTGGTGTGATTTTATAGGTAGCTTTCTTTCCATTTAATTGTGAACACCGCATCGTTGTTTTCTCTTGCACATGGGAACCACAGCAATCCGATGTACAGTATACCTTGAATGGCTCTCAAGAGTTGCATTTACAACTACTCGACAGCAAAAATCAATACTTCGAAGTACAGGATTATTTCTGCCCGTAAACCCTAGCAAATATCAGACTAATCTGTAGTTACTGTAGAAGGTGCTACCGTAATGACATGTACCACCACCACGCTGTTCACGGGTTTGAGCCCCATTGTAAGTAAACGGCAGCATCTGTGTTACTATGTATGAAAGATATACATTGTCATACAGCATTCTTTCAATCATTTCATTCCAGAGGAAGTACGAACTAAGACTTCTGGGAGACATATTTGCACCTAAATGAAACTGATACGTACTAACACCAGCGTCATGTGTTTTTTTTCTAGAGGCAAGCCAAATTGAAGTTCAAGATAAATGTTGATTAGACTTGGTAAAAATGATCTTCGTGGCCGATCTATTATAACTGACCCCATGTAAAATACTTTGAGGCTGATTTTCAATAATGCAAATTAACATTTTTGTGTAATGCATTTTGCCAGCGTTAGATTGAAGGGGTTAAAATAAAGTAAACGATCCATTCCAGATTTAAACGTGCATGAAAGAAATGCTTTATTGCTTATTGCATTCGTACTGTGGTCAAAGTACCGCACCTTTAGCGATAAGTTGTTTAACCCTGTCATACCAAACTCTGTACACAAAAGTGACATCACTTTCACTGCCAAATCTGGCACTTATGGTGGCCGGCGTCTCCCCGTCACGGTAAAACCTTATAAACGTGCAATGAAGTCGTTTGGCGATGATTTTCTTTATCGGGCCACCCACGTGACCCATCGTAGCCATAGCAACATTCGTAACTCGTAATCTCCAAGCAGGAATAGCTCGCTCTTCGTCGTTAGTGTTGTCTTCTTCGGTGGACATCATGTTGGTGGTGCTGCGCAGATTTGTTTTTTCTCCGACGTCATTCTCCAGAACGTTGGAACTGAGCTTTGCGCCGCTCGTCGTGGATTCGAGGTTGACTGATGCTGCTCTACTGCATGCTGATAGTGTGACCAGAACAACAATCGCAGCCCATAATGCTAAACGCATGACAAATGCGGCAGAGTTTGTGTCAAGAGAGTGAAATTAAAAATGATCATTCGGTATCGATGTTCTTAGCCCCTTTCAGTTAAAGTGGGGATGAGGGATTAGTCTACTCCGGAGACTAATCTTTCTCAAGATTGGACCTTATTCAAACGTAGGCCATTAAACGAGATTGAACTGGTTCAAAAGCTGGCCGTTGTTTGGTGAACGCCTGCAGTGGGGCCAAAGTCAACAGCTTCGAGTTTAGATTTAGACCAATGTCAGGGAGGCGAAGGTGCTCTTTGACCGTAAAATGGTACAGCACCACGTTTGCCACCGTATCTGGATCTGGCGTGCTGATCCTCGATAGTATGTCAATTTATCTAAAGATACTGTTTTCTGATCTGCTGGTATGTCCTGATTGCTCCGTATGACCGCATGATGATAAGTGCACCGTAATGAAGGCGCCATTGCGGAAGCAAAGCATATCGGTTCTCCGAGATAAGCTGATGCCAAATTTGCTGGGTTCAACTGCTAGACTCCATGTGCATACCAAGCTTGGTGGACAAGGTTTACGAGCTTACAAAAGCGGGCAGAGAAGTGATGCTTTGGGAGTATCAGGTTGGGATTAAGGAGAATGCGCATGGTATATGAGCAGAGGCCAGCAAATCAATTCCATTCGTACGAGATGCTATCTCGCTGTCTTGACTAAATTCTGAACTCCTGTGCCTTTGCCGGGGG